AGATACCGTCAGTAAACTTTTGATTGCTCAACCCTGACAGAAAACCAAACCCTCCTTAGTGTCCCCAGAAGGTTCCTGGATGAGCTGCTGCTTCCCCTGCCCAGACTGATTAACTTGTACAATTAATTAATGTGTGACCAGAGATATCAAAGCCACTGCACCTTCCCACCCTCGAGCCCCCATCAATCCCATGGTACTGACAGAAAAAGCAGGGAAAAATACTGGACTTATTTTTGCCTTCATGTCCAGAGAACAGAAATCCCTGTGCAGGAAACTCTGCCACCAGCTGATGCTTTATTTTTACTTTTTTATTTTAGTGGAAGGAAATTTTCACTGCTGCTTCCCTGCTATCCATGATGTGCCACCTGAACCTGGGGAAAAATGCTCCAACCTATGTGCCCTTCCCAGACTCTCATCCTTCCCCTCCCTCCCCAAAGTGATGCACCTGCCAAATCAGCAGAATGTCTGTTCACTGCTCCATTAACAGGAGTCAAGCATGAGTCAAATATAAGTTGGATTTTGCCTGCAGGCTGACCTACAACTTCCAAGTTGCTGCTTTTTACAGCTGATTTAATTTGGGAGAGGTGAGGACCTGTTTGGAATTTTAGTTTAGTTCCTTAGAAGTGAAAAGTAGTGCTTTAAAAAAGAGCCCTAAGAAAACCCAAGGGACTCCATTAGAAGTTACTCATGAATGTTGGCAGCTTGGCAAAGGACAACAGTGAGTGAAATGAGGGCCTGAGGAATGCAGTGTGAATGCTTTTCCCAGGAAATGGGAAGGACAAATCCTACCTGCTGCGGTGTTCGTAGCTGCCTTTGCACCGGAACTTGTGGGCTGGGAACACGGTGAAAATCCCTTCTTCTGAGCTGAAATATTGCCACTTGATTCCTGGGTTAGACTTCAGGTTATCAGCAAGGACTGCAGGGTGGAAGGGGAGAATGAAGCAGAGTTACAAAGGCAGCCCAGACCCAGAGGATTTGTTACCCAGGGCCTCTCTGGTAGTTTGGAGAAGAACAACCAGGGCCCTGCATGAAACATAAACTGCTCTGCTTAGGATGGGTGAAACACACTGGTGAAACTTCACTGATCTGCAAACAGTTCAAGAAACTCAACACTGGATTGGACAGATTTTGTTTAATATGTAATGACAGTTCCTGAATCTCTGAAGTACACCCAGGTCCTGGGAAGGCAAGGCCAGAGTGAGGAAGGAAGAGATTAAGGCAATTATATATAATATATATACACCTCTACATCTCCATGTAGCAATAAATACATTGTCAACATCCTTTCCAAAAAGGAAAAAGCCTTCATGTTAAAAAAAAAAATCATGTTCTTTTGGTGGAATAATTCCAAAATATTCAACAGGTTTGGTGCTCACAGCTTCATAACCAACCTATTGCCAGGGAAGGGAACAGATCCTATGGGAAAGGAACAGATCCCATGGACACTGGGAAGGGAACAGATCCTATGGACATTAGTAAAGAACAGATCTCATGGACATTGGGAAAGGAACAGATCCCATGGGCACTGGGATTTCTGCCTGATGGTGCAGTGGGAATGTCCCACAGACCTTGTCCGCTCTCAAATCTGGATATTTGAAATCTTTAGTTTTTACCAAGCAAATAAAGTAGATCACACCAGCTTAAAATGCATGAAAAAAAGAAAATATTTAATTGCCATTTCTCCTTTCATGTTATTTGACTGCAGAACTCAAAAGAACTGGCAGAGGGGGGCTCTGATTTCCAGTGCTTCACCTTTTGCTCAGCATTTCTCTCCTGTATTCCCTCAGGACTGGCACTGAAAATAGGCCAATTTCATCTCCTTCATTATCAAATATGCCAATATTTGGCTTGGAAAGGACTGCAGGGCACATTCAAACCTTAGCCAGACACTCTACACCCAAATACCCACACCGAGGACAGTCTGAGCTCCACATCCTCCACACTTTAGCACTTACTCAAGTTTCCCAGCCTGGCTGTGGCTGGATGTTCTCTCCACATCCAGCTCAGTGTAATTACCCTGCAGAAACCACTGTCCTGGGCTTTCCCCACTCCTCTCTGCCACAGTATTTGACACTTCCCACAGTGCCTAAAAATGACACTGGGATCCTGAGCTCTGTGCAAAAATGCAGCTCCTCACAAGAACAATTCCCTGCCTTGATGGACCAAGGACTACCAGAGATTCCTCATTCCCCTCCAAAATCTATTTCTTCTCTGAGCTGCTGCTTCCTCCTGCAGGCAGAAGGGCCATGAGACTACAAACACTTAAATCCTTCTTTTTATGCCCAGCTACCAGGATTTCATAGTTCTGGGGTGAAGTTGTTTTGTATAAAGAGGCTGAATTTCTGGTGTTGAAGTTTTTGTTTTGAGTTTCAGAACTCAAAAAATGTAATTTCAAAGTTGATATGTGAACACTCAGTTAAAGCCTGGATGAAATAACTTGTCCGGTCTCATTTTACCAACAACATTCAACAGAGGAGTTTAAAATTTAAAGGCTTTTTAAAATTCTTACTATATTAAAGATAAACTTCTCATTCCTGCAAGGCCACGAGCTGTATTCATTTCCCCATGAGAGTATGTGGATTTAAAAAGGTTCATTTTCCCCATAAAACAATTGGTTTTGAAACTCAAGCTCTGCTGTTCTTCCTTTTCACACAGTTGTGCTCATGTTTCCTCCAGCAAGTGTTAGTTCAATAACACCTTCCCCAGGGACCACCAATTTTATCCTAACTCTGCTTTTTTCCCCCTTTTTTCTTTTTCCTCTGACCACAGCAGACAATCTCCCTGCAGATAAGCCATGGCTGAAAAATCCAGACTTTTTCTCTTTAAACACATTCTTATTTTCCATCTACTCAAGCTGCAAGAAAGCCCTGCAGATATTGCCTCAATTCTTGCTCCTTGCCAGAATACATAGTAGATTTTTTTTTTTTTTAACCTAAATCTCACTTTCCAACCCCTCAGTGCCTGTAGTTTATTCCCACCTCTTCCTCCCAGGAAAATCAGCCCCTGGACAGGTTATTCCATCCAAATGGATGATCCCAAAAGGTGATCCCTTACTTCTGGACACAGATTGGGAATAAAAGTGCCCAGCTGCCCATGAGGAGGCATTGTCAGGTCACTCCAAAACCTCTGTCCCCTCCACTTCCCCAGCAGCAAAATCTGACTCCAAATCCTGCTGCAGACTGGAAAAGTTGGGAATTATTAAGATGACAGCATTTGAAATGATAGTTCTCTCTAATTATAAATATCTCACAAGGCAAAAAGGACTTTCAGGAAGAAAGCCCTGTGTGATAGAGTTTATAAAACTTCAAAGGGAATGCGATATGATAACACTTAGCACTTCTAGATACCACTTTACATCTTCAAAGCACAGCCAAATCATTAACTAATTAATCTTCAAAGAACAGCACAAACAGTCAGGAAAAAAAAAAAAAGGAACTACTGAACATAATTGCTCGTTATAAAAGGGTTTCTTACAGCCCTCCTCTTTAGCATTACATTTGCTGAGCTGCTGACCTCAGATCTCATCCCACAAAACCCAGGAAAGTTTAATTTCCAGTTCTCCTCTGACAAATCCCTCCATTAAGAACCCTCATGGTGAAGAAACAGCACAAAGAAATGTGTTTAGTGCACAAATGAAGGCATCCTCTAACTCTCCAGACAGATCTGATCCAGGAGGTTCCAAGTCAAACCCAATTCCAGCTCCTGTGTTGTCACCAGGAATAAAAGCTCTGCAGCTCAGCCACAATTAGCATGCTGCTGGTGGCATGAGCCAGGACAGAGCCCTGCTCAATCCTCAGGACTCTGAAGGGAAAAGAAGTACAAAACCCTTTCATTTCAAGGAATGGGACCAGATTCCTCCAGTAGAAGGATTTGGAAGGAGGGGTATTAACTCTTCTGCTCAAATAACTCCCAGCCGTTTTAACTCAGCCAAAAAATCAGTGTAAACTACAGCAATTTAAGGAACATTCCACATTCTGGACTTGATTACCCTTCCAACTCCAGATATTTTATGATTCTAAGATTTTAAATGATCAACACCCCGAATAAAACAGACAGGATTTACTGGGCAATTTGGTGCCATCTCTGCATATTTCTGTGGAGGAGCGCTCTGCCAAAGCTGCCTGACTTGGAACAGACATTTCAGCACTTTGAAGGATGAGAAGGAGAAAGATTTACTGGTTCCCTGTTTATTCAAAAGGCAAAAAAAAAACCTCCAGAAGAATCTGATAACATAATGCACTGGCTCTGGGGAAGATTTAATAAATAAAGGACTATTCAGAGCGGTGAGGACAGATCTCTTCATCTAACTGCCCAAAGCCTGTGTCTCCATCTGGAGAATAAAGACTTTCTCCTTATCTGTTTTGTAGTAATGGCTAAAAGTAATCCAGATGCAAAACTCCAACCAAGATAAAACAAAATCTTTTCAAGACACTAAAAAACATTTAAAAAGCCACCTAATATTAAGAAAAAACAGTGGTAAAAGTGGTATTTTTTAAAAGCTGAGGAGACACATCTATTTCTCTCTCCTTCCCCTAAGACTAATGTTTATTTTAACAAAAAAAAAAAAATCCAATAATAATGGAAAAAACAGATTTGAAAGATTCATGAGCTCCATCACCCTTCTTAACACCCTGCTCAGGGTGGAATCTGGGGTTGCTGTCCCCAGGGCTCTCCCAGGCTCTGTTCCTGTGGCTTTGTGGTGCAAATTCCGTTCCCTTCCAACACCTCCAACTTCAGCACTCCAATCCCACTTTTTACTCTGGGCCAAGATTAACATTTCCAGAGCTTAGCTTGAGGTCGAGCAGAGCAGAGCTGAAATTTATGTTTTGCCAGGAGCTTTTTATAGGCAGGATTATTTAAACTGCAGAACTCACGTGGGAAAAGGGGAGATACTCATGGGAATTTTGCCTTTTATGTTCAGAATGAAATGAAAAACTCATTCAGGAAGACAACGATGAGAACACCCAGATGTACCCACAGTTTTTAAAGCATAAAAATAAGTGAGGCAGAGGTAGAGCCTAAACCCAAAGTGAAACAGATATTCCTCCCCAGCTCTGCATGAGGACACATATGAAAGAAGAAAGAAAATTATGGGATTAGGGGAAATTTTTTTGTTGTATTTTATCACAGTCTTCTTTCAGAGGTGGTTTTAGTTTAATGTGAGTATTGATTGATTTATTGAGAATTGGCTCGTGTGCACACCAAGGGCTCTGCCCTGAGGGTACCCTCAAAGGTAAATGGTCTTACAGAAAGATAAAATTAAGAGTTTTAAGACACAGATACACTAATTAGTACTTTAAAACCCCACTTACAAGGTGACAGCATCTCCCCAGGTAGGGGCTGATGGGCACTGAGAGCACTCCATCCCTCTAACCAAAACTGCTTCCCACTCCATTTCTATCCCAAGCCAGTTCCTGTCCCAGCCCATGGATTCTTTTGGGCACACACGGATTTCCTGGCACAGGTCACAGCCCATGGCTGCACCACCCTGTGCTACAGCCAGCACCAACCCAACACCCTCCACACCAACACCCCAAACACGTGCCACCCCGTTTATCCCGCAGCCCCGGCGTTCCTGCAGTCCCACACTGCTCCAGCGTGCCCAGGCCTGTGCAAGGGGCTGACAGCTGCTCTGTGAGCCACAGACAGCTGCAGGACAGGGTGACAAGGGACTTGTTTACCCCTGAAAGGAATTCTGTCAAGGAAACCAAGAAGAAGAAAAGACAAACCAGGGGCCTGCAGCTGGACTTTGGTTGAGGACAGTGTGGAGACTGCTCTGTGCCAGTGTGGATTCATTGTGTCCAATGAACAAATATAAACTTTCTGAAAAGGTATAAAAGACAGCATGCTGTTAAAATAAACAGAGAGAAGCCTTCTGGAAAGCATGGTGTTCTTCTGTGTCTCAACAGTGACACAGCCCCACTCCAGCAGGGCCCTGCTGGCCCTCCTGAGTGTCCCCAAGGGTCACGCAGAGCCCTGGTGCTGGGCTTGGGCTGCTCGGAGTGCCCGAGATGAGGAGCAGGGATGGGAAGGTGGAACTGGCACCAGTCACAGCTGGGGTTGCCCTGGATCCCTGGCAGTGCCCAAGGCCAGGCTGGAGCACCCAGGGACAGTGGAAGGTGTCCCTGCCATGGCAGGGTGGCACTGGATGAGCTTTGAGGTCCTTCCAATCCAACCCCATCTGTGATTGATCTCCCAGACTTGCTTCAAACACGACAAGGATCAAGGATATTCCTTGGCCTCACCTACACAAAACTTCTCTCTTCACTAGGTGTGCACCCAGTGCCAACTTTTGTTCCTCAAATTAACCATTTCCATCCCGTTTTCCTGCCTCAGTCCACTCTTTCCATCCCATTTCTCTCTTACAGACATTTCCTCCCTAATCAAAACCTCCCCCCAAGGCTGTTTCTGTGAAAGGAGAGCCAGAGGAGAGTCTGCTGTCAATAAATCCCTGCTCTTACTCTCCTTCAATTCCCTCTCCTCTCCTGCTGCCCTTTCCTGCCAATGCCATGTTTGAAGGTTCTCCTTTCATCAGGAATCTTTCAAGCCAGAGGCAAGGGAAGAGGAAGCACTTGAGCCTCACTGCTGAGCCAGGACAGCAGGAACCTTGAACACCCCTCATTTTATTTCTCTGAGAATTCAAACCAGAAATTTAAATTATGTTTACAAGAAACTGGAATTTATTTGCTTTTCATCACTCAAAAATAAGGAATATTTCTTGAATACTTTTCCAACCTCCAACTTCAGCAGTAGAAAAATATCTTTATTTAATTTAATTAAAAACCATGAAGTGATTCATTGTATGCTTTGCTCTTGCAACAGTGACTCTAAACATGCCTTCAAAAATGATTCTGATTAATTAACAACCGCATGTGATTTTAACATTATTTTAATGGGTTGTTTGGGTTTGGTTTTTTAATAAAGAGATGAGTAAAACAAAGCCCAGCAAATCATAGTGAGTGAACAAAGAGTTCCTGGCTTTAGGAGGGAAAACACCACACAAATCATGGCTTGTCAGGAAATCAGCCTGGCCAGCACCTGCATCCAAGATGTGGGATACAATGGATGGGATGGAAAAGAATCTGTGGGGACTGCTCATTTTTATATTCATTAGAAATCCAGAAAGCAAAGCTATAAGAAGAGAAACAGTAAAGGAGTTTATGAAAATTTGGGGTTCTTTCCCCATTTGTTGCAAGATGGTGAGGGTGAAATGGCAGGGCTGCCACTTTAGTCAAGTTAATGAAATAAATCAGTATTTTATTCCAAAAGACCTCTGCATGAAAATAAACTAAAATAAATCCCAAGTCTGCATTATTCCCCCAAAAGAATGAACAAACAACACCTCCTCAAAATAAAATCCACAAAGTCTATCAATGTTCCCAAATTTACAACACTGAGCACCATAAAAGGTTGAAAAGTCAGATGGAACAGCTGGAGCAAAGTCTGACTAAACCCAACAGAAACCCCTGTATTAATACACACTGATTAGGATGCAAAAATAAAAAAAATAAAAAAAAAAAAAACCAACACCTTGCTGTACCAGAGGCCCAAAAGCTGAATTTTTCAGGGATAAGTCGTGTGTATTTTGGTTCTAAGCGTATTTCTAAGTCCTTAAACGTATTGAGAAAATGCCCTGACAGGACAAAGAAAGGAAATATTTTAAGATGCCCTTATATTTTGTCATTTTTGCATATCACTGCAAAGGCAGCCTCACATGGGCTGAACTCAGCTAAGAAGATCAGAGAAACTTCCCTGTGTGGCCCCTGCAGCAGCTGACACTGCTGATGCCAAAGCAGACAGGCCTAGGAAGGAGAAAACCTTGGGAAAAAAATAAAAAGGAAGAAATGAAAAGTGCAGAAACCACAACAAAATTATCCACGGTTGGCTGGAATAAAATCTTCATGACATTTTTATAAAGTACTTAGACTAAGGGCATTACTTTAGGTATCAGCTTTCAATCATGAAATCTCAAATTAAGAGCAGTGTGACACTTGCAAGGAGAAATAAAAGCTTGTTGCTATGGCAATCAATGCAAATTCTCTGTGCCAAGGAAATGTTGGAGTCTAATGGGAAAAAAACCCTACAACAGAAGGGAAAAAACCCCAAAGTAGAACTGTGCTGCTCACCAGAATTTAAGTCACGTCCAGGATTGAAGGCTCTGCTGTTGACAGTGGTCGAGAGTCGATCACAGCTGATGGTTCTGGAAACGTTGGTGTTGAAATTCCCATCAAATCTGGAAAGACAACGAGCACCAGCAATCAAACATTATATATTGAGCCTACATTTACAATGGAAACACAGTTTTTTAATGTTTCAATGTAAATAATTATTTATAGTAACACAGAGTTGAAATTCCATCATATATGGAAGGACAAGAACGGGAGCAATCAAACCTACATTTACAATGGAAACACAGCTTTTTAAAGTTTCAGTGTAAATAACTATTAATAGTAAGAGATTCGTGTTGAAATTCCAATCAAATCTGGAAAAAACAAGAAAAAGATGCATGGAAAGATGACTAAGGAATCAAAGAAGTGTTGGAAGGGGCCTTAAAACTCATCCCAGCGCACCCCAACACTTTCCACATCCCCAAGTGCTCCAGCCTGGCCTTGGGCACTGCCAGGGATCCAGGGGCAGCCACAGCTGCTCTGGGCACCTGTGCCAGGGCCTCACCTCCCTCCCAGAGAGGAATTCCTTCCCAATTTCCCACCTAACCCTGCCCTCCTTTGCCTTAAAGCCATCCTGCACGTCCTTGTCCCACGTCCCTTTGATCTGCTGCATTGTCCTCACTCTCCACAGCCAGGAAGAGGAACGGACAGACAGATGGACACCGAGGTCTCCTGCCCATCCTCGTGCTCAGCCCCAGGCTGAAGATGAGTCTGGGATGCTCTGACAGACCCAAAGCAGCCAAACCTGGAGCTCTGCACGAGCTCATCCCCTCTGCTGGAGCTCTTTGCTGACATTATTGGCAGCCTCCTCCCAGAGAACTTCCCAAGCTCTCTCTGTCGAGGAAAAGACATTTCCCAGGAATGCAGCTCTTGGATGGAGGCTGTGGCTTTTCTTATCACCCTCAAAATGTAACCACTTCAAAAAAATCACAGCTCTTTCCAAGAGAGCGAAACTGCTGTTGATTTTTTGTTGGCTGAAGAATCTCCAGCCTAAGATTGATTGATAACGGATGGGTTCCACAAAAATCGTGTTTATCTTGGGGCAAACCCAAAAAACTGCACATTAAACATCTCCATCCTAAAGAAATATTTCCGAGCAAGGCTGAGGAACAACCCCACAGTGAAAAATAATGACTTTTCAGGATGTAAACGGATTGTCCCAGAGCTCCCATCAAAATCTATTAGTGATGGCAACAGGATATCTTGTTAGCAACTAACATTATTAATTTATTGCATTAAAATGCTTCAACATGCTCCAAAAATCATCCAAGGTCTCAGCTCTTCTCAGGAAGCCACTGTTAGTTAACCCACCAGGATGAGGAATTTGTGGATGCCTAAATAATCTGCAGCAGAACTGAAGAAAGAAACAAAAATATTCCTGCAGCCTAACCCCATCCCTCCTTCTTACAGCAAAAAGGAAATACAGTTAATGGGGAAAAAAGTATAAATAAAAGATGAAGAATTGTTTTCAATCCCATAAATTAAAGACCTTGAGCAAGGGCTGCCCCAGACTGGGCTAAGCAGGCTGTCTGCCCCAAATCTCTCCTCAGCTGCTGTCTACCTTAAAATTGACTTTTTGCACCTTGCAAAAAGTGGTTCTGGTTCCGTGGCACAAGGACCTGGAGAAGAGAGCAGCTCCCATCACAACTAAAAACCAGGCCCAGGAACTGGCAGCACTGTGGCATATCTACATTGCAATATTTGTCATCATTTTAATGACACTGGAGAATTTTCCACGTGCTTCTAAGTTTCATTCAGAGTGAATTATTAATGTATTTAAGCATCTTCCCCATTAAAGCCACAATTAAAACCAAAGCCCCAGCACTGCTAAGTGGCCTGTCCAAACAGTGTTTGTATTCTTAGCTGTAAATACTGGGTTTACCTTTCCTACCACATTTATACCTAGCACATTTTCCACTCAAGTTTCAAACTGTACAGACTTTCCCATCACTCACTTTGGAAGAAGTTATAACACAAAAAAATATTTGGTTTTTAATATTTGAAGACAAGCATTGACTAGCACCTCTTCTCTGCACAGAGCAGACAATTTTTACCAGTGTCTCCTTGAACTTCTACCTGTGTCTCCCTTATTTTTTACCAGTGTCTCCCTAAATTCTTACCTGTGTCTCCCTAAATCCTTACCTGTGTCTCCCTTATTTTTTATTAGTGTGTCTCTAAATTCTTACCTGTGTCTCCCCTTTTTACCAGTAGCTCCTTTAATATTTACCTCTCTTAATTCTTAACTGTCTCCTTAATTTCTTACCTGTGTCTCCCTTAATTTTTCACAGTGTCTCCCTAAATTCTTACCGGTGTCTCCCTTAGTTTTAACCCATGTTTCCTTTAATTTTTATCTGTATCCCTGAATTCTTATCACTATCTCCTTTAATTTTTAGCAGTATCTCCCTTAATTTTTCACTGTGTCTCCCTAAATCCTTACCTGTGTCTCCCTTATTTTTTATTAGTGTGTCTCTAAATTCTTACCTGTGTCTCCCCTTTTTACCAGTAGCTCCTTTAATATTTACCTCTCTTAATTCTTAACTGTCTCCTTAATTTCTTACCTGTGTCTCCCTTAATTTTTCACAGTGTCTCCCTAAATTCTTACCGGTGTCTCCCTTAGTTTTAACCCATGTTTCCTTTAATTTTTATCTGTATCCCTGAATTCTTATCACTATCTCCTTTAATTTTTAGCAGTATCTCCCTTAATTTTTCACAGTGTCTCCCTAAATTCTTACCTGTGCCTCCCTTAGTTTTAACCTGAGTTTCTCTTCATTTTCACCTGTGTCTCCCTAAATTCTTACCACTATCTCCCTTACTTTTTACCAGTATCTTCCTTAATTTCCACTAGTGTCACTTTTGCCAGGCTACAAAGTGGATAAAAACCTCTTGAGATTTCACCCAAAATATTCCAGATGACAACACTTAGAAAAAAACTCCACACCAAAATGACAAACCTATAATTTTGAGGGGTTTTTTTTGCAGATTTAAAGAACACTGGCTGAGATTCACTTCCAAGCCAGCTTCCTCCACCCCATCCCCCTTCTCCCTCTCTTCCTGCTGGATTCCCTTTAATGAAGAAGGGATGGAAGCTGCATCCCAAGGGAGCAAACAGAGCCGCCACTCCCACTTTGATCTGGTCCCCACGGAGCTCCACGCTCCCTGCCTTCCTCCCCAGATCCTCCCTTGATTGACGTTGGCTCTGATGTGCAAACTGCTTTGAACTTCACACATGAAATTCCCATCAGGCCGCGCTCATTTTTATTCTCCTTCAACAGGATTTACGAGCGGGAGACGGGCGAGCGGAGGAGATAAAATGAATTTGCAGGAGCTTTGAATCTGACATCAAAACGGAGCTCGAGTGAGCTCCAATTGGATTTTGCTCGGCCTGAATTTACAGTGTAAATCAACTTCTTTTGTGTGTTTGGAGTTTGGGGGAAAATGAGGGAGATGTGGATAAAAATGGCACTTGAGCAGCTGCTCAGGGCTTCATATTGTTTTAATACTCATTTTTGCCTTTTCTCTCTATTCATACTAATTCAAGCTGACATTAATATGCAAATGAAATTAAGTAAGTTCACTCAAAATTCAGCGTTTCCTTTGAAATTCCCAACTAGGCCTTGTTTGCTTGATTGCAAGGCAAGATTTTAACTCATATGTTACATAAATGCTTAAATATAGGGTTCCCACTGCATCTAAACAGAATGCTGGAAAACAACGTTTTTATGAATAAATTCAACAACAACAACAAAAAAAAAGCTACTGATGGTTCAGTTACACAATTTCTTCTGGCAAGGCACCAAAGTTGTTCCCATTATTTCAAGTATTCTTGAAAAATCCAAGTACAGCTGCTCTCAGCTGTAAAGAGGATTCAACTCAGGAACACAAACTATTCCCAACCTCTCTTTTTCACAAGGCATTTCTATTCCAAACCCCATTTTTACATGAGGAATTTGGCCACATTAGAAGTAAAAGCAAGAGCCTGGGAGAGAAATTTCCTAAATACCTGCTGCACTTTATGGCCAAAAGCTGCCAAGGCCAGGACTGTGCACAGTCCCTACATCTCCTAGAACTCCCTGGGCTGTACTGCAGCCTGAAACTCTGTCAGAACAGCAAATACATCTTAAATTTCATTTATTGTGGCCCCCCCAGTCCTCCTCTGGAAGTGCAGCTCTTCAGGTACTGCAGCAACCCAAGGAACTGAACGGGATTCCCGTTATCTCCCACTTAAGTGCTCCGGAGAGGAAAGATAAACATAGAAAAAGCTGTGATAAAATTGAACTGCAATAGCAAATATTTAACCATCTGTTTTTAAAAAAAGCAAAAACCAGACCACTTCTGAAGGCACTATCACAGCCAGGGAGTAAATGATTTTCAAATAGAGGTTTGTAAACTCCCTTATTCAAACAGCTCCATTCATGTTTGCAATGCACCACTGCCAAGTAGGGTGTTTTACCAACAAATATTTCTCCATTCCAGCTCCTTCCACAAATCTGGATAAATGCATTCCCTAAGCTCTTATCAGCATAGTTAAATAAAGAGCAAAAACAGATTTCCAGCTGCCTTGCAAGGCAGCCAGAGTGGGAGCATTAATGAACACCAGTGCCCCTGAACAGATGGATTTTGGAGACCTGGGGCAGCTTCCCGTGAAAACCCAGCAGTGAAATCCTTTTGTGGCCTCCAGGGTAGAAGGGGGATGAAAAGGCAGCACACAGGATCCAGGTCCAACAAGGAGGAGCAGAGAGGGACACTGGGGCAGCCTCCTGGGGCTGCCACTTGTCTCTGTGCTCACACCCCACAGAAACTGCACTTCCCTTCTCCCCCAGAGCCAAGGACACGAAATGCTGGAGCACATCAGAGTGATGGATCGTAAAGCTGGGCAGAGAGGAGGATCAAGATTAGCTCAGGGAAGATTTTGTCTCCCTTTAAAAGCACCACCTGGTTTTTGGTTGGAAAAGCTGCAGGAACAGCTGCATTTCCTCACAAATGCATCGGAACAATATTTTTTATTTTCTGGAAGGTGATCCTACTGCAGCCACTGCTGTGCTAGAAACCACTGGCAGGTGCTCTGTGGGCCCTAACACAACCAACTTCCCAGGCCAACTGGAAGTCTCCCACAGCTTCTCCAGAAAAAGACATTTTGTGTAATGGGTAGAAGACAAAATACCCAACCATTACCCACATATCTGACTTATTCTTAGAGTGGAAGGGGTTTGATTTCCTTTCATCTGCAAATATTCATTATCAACCACCTCTTTATCTGCCTCTTGCCATCCAGGCCAGCAACATCTCTATGAATAAACATTCCAGACATCACTGCCAAGCCAGACCATGCAGACCTGCAAAGGTAGAACCCCCTAATGCTTCCAAACCTGCCTCCCAAAACTCAATTCTTAAACCCCTATTTAGACACTTCTCACAACTGACACACATCCCAGAAGTTCCCACTGCAGGTACTCAGGACTTCTGATAAATAAATTCTGCTTATTCTTTCCCTCCCTTCTTGGTGCTCCATCAGCCCATCCCAGATCCAAGATTCCTTCAATGCCTGCTGAGGCCTTTCAGACACAAAAACCAGGAGACTCCAACTTGTACACAAAGGTATTTATGCTCTTCAGGAGAAAGACACTTTAATTAAACTGCGCTGGTAAATCACCACCCAATTCCATGTGACAGGGAATGTCTGGAGACAGCATGAAATCTGCTCCTCGTGGCTTATTCAGCAGCCTGTGCTGGTGAGGAAACACAAAGGCTCCTTTTTCCAGCAGGGATTTCTTCCAGGATTAGAAGATGCACCTCACTTGACATCCATTTTCCTTATCTCCCATCAGTTTGCTGAGAGCCTGGAGCACTTTATCCAGATTAACTCTGTCTGCCTGGGAAAAGGAGCTGCTCCCTGGTGCCCAGCTCTGACCCCAGGGACACAAACACAGCCTGGGTGGTTGGGCAGGCACCAAAATTTCCACACCAGCCACGTGGGAAGAGTTTGGAAAGCTCTGCTCCCTGCCTGCCCCTGGGCCATTCCAGAGCTTCATTAGGTAGAGCTGAAAATGCCATCAGAGATAACTTGCCTTTGGAGAAAGGATCAGAAAAAACCAAAGGGGAATGTGGGGATTTTTAATGAATTAGAGATGGGACTTCTGAGCTGCTTGAGATGATGTGATTTATTTTTCTTATCTTCTACACTGGCAGGAAGGGTGAGCTGGGCTCACATCTTCACTGCATGGCTCAGAAGGTCACAAGACCTCCAGTCACAATCCTTTTAAGGGTTTATTAACCAATAAAACACTGCCAACAAGGATATTTATGTTTTTGACCCAATCCTTGCATATTTGGCCTTATGGACTCATGCCACAGTGTGAGCTTTCTTAGCCAATCATGTTATGGCACACAAACCTACAGTGCTGCAGTCTAAACTCTCTGTTTACTTCTGTAATTACTTCTATTTTTTCTCTATCTTAAACTCTAAAACTCTAAACTTTCTTTTATTAAGCTTAACCTGTCTCTGCTTTAAACTATAAATCCACATTCTCACTTCTAGCACCTCAGTTTGGGAGCCTTTTCCAAGGTTTCAGGTCAAATCCTGGGTTTATTCTAAGCTTTGGCTTCCAGGCCCAAAGTTCTGGGAGTTTTGGATTCCAGCAGGGGAACACAAGTCCCTGCCCTGCCCACCCCTCCTCGGCAGTCCCTGCACATGGATTTAGGCCTGGGATTATCTCCCTGTGCCCAAGCACATTTAGAGGCTTTGGTAAAGCAGCTGAGTGAAATTTTATCAGGAAATGTTTGTTGAATTAAGGCCTTGCCAAAACCACTCGATAGCCACCAACTGTGCTGCCTCATCCAGTTGGGTTTGCATATTCCGATTTATTTCTTTTCACCGCTTTCCAAACCAAGGTAGCTCCATTGCACAACCCTGCCTTGGAGAGGGCACAAACACACAACTGCTGGTCTTACACCACTGAAACCAGAATATTTGGGGTATAAAACAGCAACCAAAAGCACAGTCAGGCTGGGAATTTTAATCCAGACTGGAATCACATGGAAACTCACTCAATTGGGCTCTTCACTGCAAGAGCCAACACTATGTAATGGCAATAAAATAAATATTGCTTTCCCTGTCATATCTCACTACTCATTAAACAATCAATTTAAATGCCAGGTTCATTTTCTAACCCAGTCTGTGCTTTGTTAGGTCCTATTTTTATCATTTATTTATAGTCACCAGGTGTGGCAATCTCACAGTTTATGCCAAGCAACATGGCAAACCAATGCCTGGATTTTCAGGAGAAACACAAACAAACTCATGGATAATTTTCTTAATGGTAGCAACAAACTGAGGCCAGCAATCCATTAAAAAAAGAGAATAATAACAATTTTAAAATGCTTTCCCTACAGAATAGTTCATCCATCCCAAGTTAATTTTCCCCAAACCAATCTACACTTGCAGCATTCCTAATTCAATGTCAATAAGCTGGACAATAAGAGGCTGAACACCATGGGACAAACAGCCTTACACACTGTGGGGAAAACTTTCAAACCTACCTAAAAATACCTACAAATAATGCACTTCTGATGCTGTTCTCGCCCCAAATGTTTGTTCAAATAAAGAGGCCACATGAGGAAACAGCCAGATGAAGAACACACAGAGTTCAGGAGCTGTAACACAAACATTTCACAACCCTCCAGAATGAAAACCACAGCCCTGAGGACTCAGACATGGCCAAGGCACAATCTCAGGCAAAGGATCTCATAGAAAAAGTGATTTTCACAGACAAATCTGGGTCTTTTTCCCCGTGACCTCTCCTGCAGCAACAGTTAATAAATACTTTAACCAAAAAAATAGAATTACTTTTAACATTTTAAATACCAAGGATAAGCTGTTATCAACAGCAGCACATCCAATTTCACTTCAAGCAAGTGCAGACCCAGCTAGTCCACAAATTAAACATGGAAGAATTCAAAATATGATCACAATATCCAAGGGAATCAGCTTATTTCCTGATATTTTACCCAAAATGGGGAATATCCCAGAAAGGTGATGCCACAGGGAAAGAAAATGGAAAGAAGAGCAGCAGCTGGGAGAGGCAGAAAGGGGAGAAAAACTGAAATGATAGCAGCATTTAGACAAATCTGGCAATGAACAAAGCATGGAGCTAAAACTTGGAAGTTCCAAACAGAAAATACATTTTTACATTATTATTTTTGTCTTGCAGATGATTTCCTATAGACAGCACTTGGTCCAATGGTCAGATAAGCCTCAACCAGATCTTGCCAAGGTCCAGAACATCCTGCAGCTGATAAACTGGTCTGGGAACCATTTAATTATTGATCCAAGCAACTAAATAATGAGAATCACATTGCAGAGCCTGAATGAGGAGCTGTGCAAACAAAAATTCACCTCTCTGCTTTGCCAGCTGCTTGTGTTTTAAACCTTTTACTGGGAAGGGTTCTTATGCAAGTTCACCATAGGTAAAGATATTTCTAAAGGACTTCCAAGTATGTAATTTTGGAGGACAAAGTGAAAAGGAATTCACTAAAGTTTCCAGACTAAAAGCAAACTTCTCTTTTTAATGAAAAATGAGGTCATACTGACAAGGGTGATAAATCCCATTTCTCCTTCCTCTCAGCCCTTGCTGGGTAGGTGCTCCTGTTGATTCCTCCATGGATTTTGTGAACAGAGGGTAGAAAGGTTTTTATCCTCAAAGAATTCCAGACCCTTTTGTCCACACTGCCAACAGCCTGGATGTGGCAGCATTTTCCACAGGCACCTAGTCCTGCAGGAACTGCAGAGACTCCAAACCTGTGCCCTTGGAGTCACCTGATGACCCAAATTACCTTCCTCCCTCTCAAATGTTTTTAAATCAGACTGAGATGGAAACAATAAAAATTGGTCTGTAATCAAGGTTTGCATAAAAAGACAGTTATTCTTGTTCTTTTCAAGCCCACATGGAAGTAAATGTTTAAAATGTTCAGGATTTCAAGAAAATTGCTCCTCTTTAATTGGAAAAATCAGGGCTTCAATCACACACTTCTACAGTTAGAAAATCCAGAGAAATTTCTGCAAATATGTAGCACAACAGTTAAAGACAACCAACTGCCTGGATTTAGCCTACTCAAAACTCCTGTATTTAAAACCAAACCAAACTGAACATGAAGAAATGCAGTTTCCAAGCAATGGACTCGATTTCATTAAAGCTCTGCTATCGAACAGCAGCATGTCAGCCTGATTAAACTGGAGCACAGAGCTGTTAGCATGTGATGGACTGACTAACTCGTGATTTTGGCTACTTCAAAGAAGAGAAAAGGTCCCATGACCAGCCTGAGGAGAGTTATTCAGGGCAAGCAGTGCCTCAGTGCAAAAAGGGTGTCTTGGATCTAGACAGACTCTTTTTGTGCAGAACACTATGAACAAACTTTCTTCCTTTTATTGCTTCCAGCTGATTCCCAGCTCTTGTTTAAAGCCCACCATTAAACACTGGTGTGGGAGAAATGTAGAAGATGAGGACAAGGAAAGAGGCACCTTTGGAGTTTGGCCTTCTCTGTTTTTACCCAAACTAGCAGAAAACTCAGGCTATTTTGCAAAGAAACCTTCATTTTCTCTGCAGATTAAATGCCAGCATGAGGAATTCCAGAATTTGACACTCACTCCATCATGGATGGGGGGATGGTGCAGCAGTCCTGGATGGCAGTCAGGGGTGAGGTGAGGTGAGCAGTGTATGAAGCTTCCACGACCTGCTTGTTCCGATTCACAACGTCCAAGTAACGGTTAAACTTCTCACGGATTTTTTTTGCCAACTGAAAAAAAAAACATAAGAAAGTTTTAAATCAACCCAGTTTCTTTGTACTACCCATTCCTTAACAAGCAATTAAAACCTGTGTTTTCAGAATTAATGATTTTTTGCTGGCAAGGGTACTTCCAAGCTGGTGTGACGTGAGGGCTGGTGGTGCCTGTGGCACCTCTGCCCTCTCCATGCCAGGCAGATTCCAGGCCCTGGGAAGGGCTGAGCCTGCTGGGACACATCCCAGGCTGCTGGAGTGACTGGGCTGTCACAGAAGAGCTCGTTTGTGTCCCTTCATTAGGCACTTCACAATGAGCCTGACTAATGACTGCCAGGGAAAATGGGAAAGGAAAAACCTGTGGCTGCTCCTGGAGCAAACGTGACAGTGAACACAGTTACCAGGAGGCATCAGGTTTTACAGGGAACGTTTTACTGAGACTTTCACTCCTGGTCTTTCATCAAAGGGAGGAATTGATGAAATGGATCAAGCTGTTTATTTTGCCCTGTATATTCTGCATTCCTTTCACGCCAAGCAATTATATACTTAATATTCAGCCAGACACACCCCAAATGAAAGAATCATCTCTTAAGCAACAGAGGTGTTGAATAATCAGAAATATTGTTCCGCATTTCTGCAAACTTCTCCAAAGCTAAATCAGCTCCTCAATCCACAGCACTCCTCTCTCCTGCCCCCTGCACACCCCAAACCCTACAGGGATGATTTAACAGTGCTGCTGCCTCTGTGTGCTGGCAAATAGCCCTGGATTCTCCAGATGCCCTGGACTAACAAATGTCTCTGCTAACTCTTACCAACAGGCTGTTTTGTCACGATTTTCGGGGTTCTGTGAGGAAGGAGGCCTTGCTGATAACAGCACTGCTCTGCCTCCCTGTTCCAGGGAATGCTGTGCTCCGTGACAGGTCTCCAAGGAGCACAGGTTTAACAGCACCCCGCTCAAATGACTTGCAGAATTACACCTAATTAGGTCTGTGGAATGATTTATTGCCAAGGCACCAGAGGACTGCTAATGGGCTCCTCCATGTTAGACATCCAGCACTGTTAAATTGTTCCCAGTTGCTAGGATAATAAGCTGTTGGGGAGATCCTTTCCTGCTTTCCAGTAAACTTTGTTTTTGTCTGGCTGTACCCCTCAAATGTGTTCTTTAGAAGTAGATCCTCCTGGAATTGTTTAAAACCCACCATTAAACACTGGTGTGGGAGACATGCAGAAGAAGATGAAGACAAGGTAAGAGGCACCTTTGGAGTTTTGCCTTCTCTGTTTTTATTCAAACTAGCAGAAAACTCAGGTACTTTGCAAAGAAATCCTCATTTTCTTTACAGATTAAATGACAGCATGAGGAATTCCAGAATTTCATACTCACTCCATCACGGATGGGGGGATGGTACAGCAGTCATACAGCACAAATTGTGCTCTCGAACAAACACAAGCCAAGTTCCCTAAATCAGTGCACTTAAATTTGGTGGGTACAAAGTTCTCCTCTCAGGCTGGGCAAATGAAATGCCAAGGTAAACCAGATATTTGAATCTGAGATTTCTCTCTTGGTTCCCCTGCCTGAAATCAGGAAGAGGGGAGAGAGCTGAAGTTTGCTGAGCATCATTAGCAGTCATAAAACCATCAGAGGGCCCCAGAACAAAAGGCCTGTGGTTTGGAATCAGAGCTGCTCTCTGATAAATGAATGCTGTTCAAGCCGAGGGTTCGGTGTTGATGAGTTTTCACCTTCTAGGTTGAACGATAAAAGCACCCCACAGCCTTTGAATTTCACCCTGCTGTGCCGAGTCTAAAGATCTGACAAATCTGTTTTTCAGAAGATCCTGTACTTCACAAGCTGACAAAAAGCAAATGCTTTGTTCCCAAACTGTGTCTCCCATGGAAAAACCTCTGAATGGCTCAAAGTCACTCCGTTATTTTTCTGAAATGGGATCCAGCGCCTCGGTCGGGGTGGGAAGTCAAGTGCGTGTCAGCAGCGAGGGATCTGAAACCTCCCAGAGCTCCAGACACCATTCCCTGCCCACAGCTGGAAGATCTGACTCTGTCTAATCCAAAGAACTCTAAAAATATTGCCCTCTGATACCAAGACAATGCTCCCAACAATCCAAACCACTTCAAAACCAGTGAACTCAATAAAGTCAACAAGGGCAAGACAATCCAAAAATAATTTTCCATTGAAAATTTCTTTAAATGAATAAACTGTGATAAGCAACTGAGGGTAACACACCAATATAATACTAGAAACAAATGGTTCTAATTAATCAAATTGAGAAGTATCACCCAGATGAAGCCTAATAAAACAAAGTTTTCTTCCATAGCTGGGCTTTGCTTCCCTCCCAAACTTGATTCCCTTTGCAGGGTGATGCACTCAGCTGCTGGAGCCTGTCACAGTAAAAGCTGCAGGCTTAAATCACCTTCTTCTCTTTCTAAATAAAAACCTGAAGTTTTTATCCAGCACATACCCTGCTTTTTTTAACCTGCCTGAAGCTGGAGAGCTGCTGGATGCTGCTGGATGCCAGACCCACAAAACCTCCAAAGTAGAGAAAGAGAGATAACAAATAATGAAAGGACAGAAGACTGAACTATGAAACCATGCTTACGTAATTGCTGAAGCGTTTTTAAGGCAAAATGGAAAATTATGCCCCCAATCAGGCACAGGAAAGGGGCAGGGGTGTCCCACACCTGTGTGGGTACCAAGTGTGACAGACATTTCCTGCTCCCACAGAAACGCTCCAAATTCACCCATTTTAATAGAGACTGAAATAAAGCTGGATACCTTAAGATTGACATAAAATATTATTATTCTACACAAAGTGTTCTTTGCCTCATCTCAAAAACAACAGCAAGGGGACGCCTCCGTGGGCATTTTTCAGATTTCTGTGTTTTCTCCTTAATTTTAATAAACAAAGCAACGAGCAGTGAGTGCTCTCTGTGAACAATGCAGCCATTAGCCCTGTTTTCCCTGGATTTCCTCTGGCAGCTGACACGCAGCCAAAGCCCTTGGGTTTGCAGACAGGTTGGACTGTAACACCTGTTTCTATTACTGCAGCACCCCTGGGTAATGCACTTCAATTGTCACCATCTCCACTGACAACCTTTCATCACAACATCACTGAGCTCCTCTAATTTTCCCAGAGACATTTCCCTCATTTGCATCGTTCCCCTGAGCTTTTTTTTAAAGCTTCTTCCCCCTCAAAGCTCCACAGCTCTGAAGTCTTCCCTTTGCAGGGAGCTCTGAGGGAAAGCAGAGCTCCAAGGTGAGGTTTTATTTCTGGCTGTAGCTTGAAAGCCAAGGTATTTTTCATGTTTCCAAGCCTGTATATAAAATATGCATCAGTGGGGTTGACAGGCAGGGATGCCAGGATGGACTCACAGCCAGGGATTGAACACTGTCAAGCTCTTTGGAAAGGACTGCTTACACATGGAAGAGCTGAGTTAGAATTTTGAGGTTTAAATTCCCTCTGTAAACCAGAAAAATCTGGAAAAAAGCACCTCTCTCCAACACCCACCAAGCATTCATCCTGCTGCAGAATTACACCTGAGCATCCATGAGTTCCTAATCTAGGAAACTTTTAATGTTATTTATTTTTCATCTATGTGGCTCTTGAAGAAATCTTGTCAGGGTTTTGTATCAACCCTGAAGAGCCAGAGGTGAGCAGGGACATGGCACAAGGAAATATCACAGAATCACCTCCAGCTTCATCCCACACCTCTGTTTTAACAGTTTCTAACCTTTCATGGAATCCTGGAATGGTTTGGGTTGGGAGGGACCTTAAGGATCATCCATTCCCACCCCCTGCCAGGGCAGGGACACCTTCCACTGTCCCAGGCTGCTCCGACCTGGCCTTGGACACTGCAGGGATCCAGGGGAGCCCTCAGCTTCTGTGGCTCCCCACCCTCACATGGAAAAATTTCTCCCTAAAATCCCATCTAAACCTCCCCTCCTTCAACTTAAGTTCATTCTCCCTTGTGGAAAGTCCCCATTCCTGCTTCCCTGGATAACACAGAAAATATATTCCATTACTGCAACCGGGATGCAGGAAACCACCTTCCAATGTGCATTTTGTCACGGAAACCAGCACTCGTTTGAGGTTTTCTACTGGCCAGTACCTTTGGCAAAGCTTCCCAAGATTTATTCCAAGGAAGATGTTAAACAGGATGCACAGCAAAACCTAGAGAGAGGTCACAACTCCTGAATCATTCTGGAAGTACATTAAACACACAATAATTGCCTTTCATTGTGAGGCTCACAATTCACTAATGTGTGTGAACACGCCACTTCTCACAGCCAGGGAACGTGCTGTGCTCAACAGCTAAATGTAATTTTTTCAGCACTTTTCAGATCTATTTCCTCCCCAAAGGCCTCTTTGCCCAGTCCAAACCCAACCAAACTAAAAATCCAACCCAAGAGCAGCATGGCCTGAGCTTTTCAAGCCTTTTCTCCTCAAAGCTGGTAAATCTACTCCTGCTTGAGAGCATGTCACCCTCCCTCCTGCATGGAGCCCAGATCCCTTCTCTCCACATCACAGAAAGCAGATGTCTGGCAGGACACTGAACACACACTGACTTCCTTGAAATTAGCTAATGTAGATTTTCCCCTCATAAAACTCCTCCTGTCCCACTTTATTTACATCACTAACTCACACCACTGCATTCTCACATCATATGAGAGTTCTCTGATACTGAAATAACTCACAGGGAAGGAATCCAAGTTAGTTTTGGCCATTGCCATCCCATTTTTAATAACCTATTCAAAGCAGAAAAGGTTTTATCTGTCAGGTACAACAGTAATTCTATAACTGCAGACCTTAAAAGTGTAACCAGCTCAATGCTGAGAGGTAAAACTGCTCCTTGTGTGGCACAAAGAAAGCCAAAGGTATTGAACAGTTAGGCCTGAAGGCCAACAGCTGGAATCTTTCACTTTTTCAATAAACTGAGAGTCATTATTTACATGGTTTGGTATAAAAAACCCACCACCCCCACAACAATTCAATGCTCTGCCAAAAAAAAAAAATCCCAGCTGACATAAAACTGTCATTAATTGCTTTTGGATAGCAGTTGCTATGAAAATGTTAATGAATGAGAAAAGCAGAAATTAGATTTCTCTGGCAGCGGATTTCATTTGCTTACATTTGTTTGCCTTTACTCAAGATGATCCCATTCAATGTCCTACTCTTATAAAATTCGGGTTCTATTGCTGGGGATTCATTAGGGCTAAAAGATCTGGTTATTAATGAACCAGAAGTGCTCAATTATTCTTCCATCCACTTCACTGTAGAGCTTTTAAGCACAGTAATTACACTTTAGCAGAGCCCCGTTTTCTCCCTTGACAGCTCCAAATCCATCACCCCACCTCCCGTGTTTGGACAGCTCTTTAAATCCACTTGGGATGAACACAGACATCTGCTCTGGGAAACAAGGACTGTCTTTTCCTCAGTGGAGAATCCGTAGTCAGGACTTCAAAGAAGTTTTAATCCAGTTTCTTGGTTTCCCAAAAACAGTTTTGCCTTTCAAAAGCCATCTGATACATCTGATCCAGCCCACATGGCCCTTCTGTGGTGCACAGACCACCCAGAAACACTCCTGGAAGTGCTGCCCTGCACAACACAGAGCCAGAGAGCCCATCCTGAGGGACGTGGGGATGGTTTGGGATTTAAACTGTTAAACTCAGGTGACAATTACGTTCCCATGGTCCCACTGCTTGCAAGCACCCACCTGGGCATTGCCTGCAGGGAAGCCAAAGCCTTCAAAAAGGTTGGGGAGAGTCTGGAGCCCCAGGAGAGGCTGAGGGAGCCGGGAAGAGGCTGGAGGATCCCTGAGGGAGCCGGGAAGGGGCTGGAGAATCCCTGAGGGAGCCGGGAAGGGGCCGGGGGATCCCTGAGGGAGCCGGGAAGGAGCTGGAGAATCCCTGAGGGAGCCGGGAAGGGGCTGGAGGATCCCTGAGGGAGCCGGGAAGGGGCTGGAGGATCCCTGAGGGAGCTGAGGGGGCTCAGTCTGGAGCAAAGGAGGCTCAGGGCCCTTCTGGCTCTGCACAGCTCCTGCCAGGTTTGGGATCTGCTCCCAGGAACAGGGACAGGAGGAGAGGGAACGGCCCCAGGCTGGGCCAGGGCAGGCTCAGGGTGGATATTCGGGAAAATTCTTCACAGAAAGGATTATCCAGCCCTGGCACAGCTGCCCCATCCCTGGAGGGATTTAAAATCCCTGTGGATGTGGCACTTGGGGACATGAGGTGGCCCTGGCAGAGCTGGACTCGATGGTCTTAAAGGTCTTTTCCAACCTAGAAGTTCCTTAGGATCCCATTTGAACCAGCTCTGCTTTGACTTTTTCCTCAGTAAAAAATTGAAGATTGAAAATGTCACCATTTCCAGGAAGCAGGACTCAGAGTCTTAATTATTTCTGTACTCCAGGAGCAGCCTGAACCCACATGAACATGCTATGGCTCTGGGAAACCACAATGGGGCTACCTGCAGGGCTGAACTGCAACTCCCTCCTCCCCAGGGAAAGCCCCACTCTGAGCAGCTTCTGTTTTTCCTGAACATTAGAACTGGTTTGATAGGGGTCTGGGAAGGTCAGGTTACTCCTGAAGGCTGAGCAAGTCCATGCTTAGACTGGGAAGAAAAGTTGCTTCTTTGTTCTATTTCTTTGACCAAAACCCATCACCTTTACCACAAACATAACTGGGACTTTAATTTCTGAAAGAATAAAACATTATCTATTTGATCTGTTTGGAAACTGATCCAAAATTAATTTTAAAAATAAACAAATGTATTAAAATGCAAACTGCCCATTTTATCCCAGTGTTAAATGTTGAAATGTGTTTCTGTAAAACCCCACAAAATTACAAGCACCCCTCAATCACACCTCTGATGCACCAGGCTGTAGCTGTCCTGTATTTCCACATCATAATAATATCAATGATTTTACTTTGAATTTGAAATTTAAAAAGAGACACTTCCAACATGAAAGCCTGACAATCAATGGGAGCTACTTCATGAGGGCCCTTTTGTTTCCAAGGGACAGCCCCACGCCAAGCAGATGGAAAGGCTTTGCAAAATTCTCAAAAGCATCATCAGCACATGCAGCCCATCCCCACTTCTGTCCTACTCCTGGCTGGGATCTGAGGTTAGGAAAGGGCCACAAATGCAGGCAGAAAGAATTTCCTGAGCTGACTCTGCCAGTGGAGGTGAAGGGGTTTTGGACTCACCTGCTGAACTTCGCTTTCTCCATTCGATATTTTTTCTGTGTACACGAAGGAGTTGAATATCCTCTGCAAGAAAAACCAGAAAGGATGTGTGAGAGGCTTTTTGGTCATAAATGTCACAGGAAAGCAGCTCCAAAGGGTGGATGGGTGGGGAAATGGGGTCAGAGAAGGACCTGGGGCGTCTCCCAGGGCCAGGCTTCCCAAGGGGAACCATGTCTCCATGTGGGATCTGCATGCAGAGGCTGCCTTTGGAAGGCAAAGACATAACAGGGTTATTTTCCAAACATCTCTTTATTTACCAAACTGACCTAAGGTGCTAAAAATAGTTCCACGTGCAAACTATGACCCTTCTTTTGCTAAACATTTAACCCAATATAACTACTTTTAAAAATACTTGTTTCCAACTAAAACATGAGAGGCTAGGAGCCAAATTTAGACAAATTTAATACGTGGAAAAGAGACACGTGAGACCCAATTTGAACACAACCTGATCAATCTCATTAATAGCAAGAAAAAAAAAGTCAGTAGATAAAAGTGGGAGCTGTGTCCTCCTGTGGGAAGCCCAGTTCCCAGGGGGAACAGGTGACAGGCATGATGTTTACAGACACAGAGGAAAAAACACTCAACACCTTGTTATATTCTGCTGAAAAATAAGACTGGGAAGATTTGGGCTTACACCAAGAGCATTCTTAAAAAGTTGGCCTGATCACCTGAGCTTCTGTTCCAAGATTTCTCACTTCCAAGGACAGCTTTCCCCTTGGGGACAGTGGGGCTGTCCCCAGGAAAATATACAGTACCCCTAAAATATTCCTTTGCTCTCTTAACAGCCACCAGTGGTATCAATAGCTGTAACAGCAATAAATGGGGTTATTTAGGCTGTTCAGACCTTTCTCCAGGAGAGCTGGGGTTTCACAGAGGGAATGGATCCCACTTCTGTCAGAGCAGAGTCACAAACATGGCCCTGCACCTGGCCAAGGACAGGGATTCCTAAACACCCTGCACTGCATTATCAGCACTAACAACTAAAAAGTTTCAATTTCATCCAAATTCATCTCCCTGACAACTCTTGGAGTCCACTCCAAGAGTTTTTTTTTGATGCAGGTTCAGCTGATTCCCTCCCAGCACAGTTACAGGCAGCAAAACCAGCCTGGAAAATCCTTTGGTGTGCTCCCCATCATCACTTCCCTTATCCCTCTCCCTCCTGAGGACTTGAGGAATTTCAAAAATGTGAACTCTTCATTCTGAAGAAGCATTTGGAAGGGCAGCAATAAATCTCCTTGGCTTACAAGGCTCAGAGAGCCAAGAAGGGGGGGCAGGGGAGGGAAAAAAAAAAAGGTTTCTACTCTTAAAAGCTGCCCGTACATTGAGACTTCATCAAGACCTTTGTTTAAAGTTCTGCTTGGGTACTTTAACTACAAACATGTTGGCTTTTTTCTTCCCTCCCTCATGAGATGAAAAGATAACTTAAACATCAGAAGGAAATACATTAAAGCATGTCATTTTGATGCAAAATGTTTTAAATGAATTGAATTTTTCTGTCCACGCAGCGTTTAGTGTGCAGACATCAAAAGGAATGCGGAGGAAATCAACTGTCAGCTCCGGAGAATGGAGCTTTCTATCCCTAACACAAAGCTGACCCTTTTTCCACCCTTTCCACATGTAGCCCATTTATGAACTTGCAAAATAATGCCAGAGAACATCATCCATGGTTATGTAAGAGTCACAGTGCAAGCAGGAATTTATTTGCCTTGGTTTTTAACCTATTTTTGCTTGATTTTGAATTAACTAATTTCTTTTAAATTCTCTGGTATATTCTGTTCTAATTAAAAGCACTGTGCATGGCTGAGAAGGGGAGCAGGAATTCCTCAGTCAAACTAAGCACAGATAATGAGTAAATCAACAGCTAAAATCAAGTAAGGATTGAGAGTCCAACCCCGAGGCTACACGTGAACTGCTCAGCCCCTGCCTGGGTCCAGTTCCTACTTGGGATATCGGCTCCCTGCTCAAGAATTCCTGTGCATAATTCCACCCTAGGGGGGAAAAAAATCTTTAAGCTAATTTCACTGACTTAAAAGTACCCTAACTTTAACCAGAAAATCAGAGCTAAGTGGCAACCTCAGATGAAATGGAGGGAACTTCACAGAGCAGACCAAAAGTCAGCCCCACACACAACCTCAGAAAACAGTCTAAATATTTAGGAGAACTTGCTCTGCAGTTTACACAGCCCATTAGCATCTGTACTTTATTCTCCCCACCCCTCTTGTTTAATTTGCTCTGTGGAGCAGATGGCAGCAGATTCAGCTCCTCACAGAACAATCCCACACGTGTTTAATGAGATGCTTGCCCAGCATTATTTGCCATAACCCATCACCACTCGCCCTCCCAACGCGGGAAGGCTGTGCTGGATCAGAACACAGCCTCTCCCCTGGATCAGCAGCCAGCTTTTCCCCTCATTCAGTATCCAACCTTTGCTCTGGATCAGTATCCAGCTTTTCCCCTCATTCAGTATCCATCCCTTGCCCTGGTTCAGCCTTTTCCCTTGAGCTGCTCCTCCCTCGGCCATGGAATATCTCCATCCCCACCATCACTCCCAACATCCCAGCACACAAGTCCTCAAGCTTTCAACCTTATTTTCCTGCATTTGCCTTTGTATGCAGTAATTAACTGGGAAAAACCCCTTTATTTTTACATCCAGGTGCAACTATCCCAGTGCTGTGACTGAAGCAATGTCTACTTTCCAATACTAAAAAATAGTGTTGGAGAGTTTGATATATCCTGACACTTTCCACAATAGAAAAAGGATAAACAGCCTTAAGCTGAGACAGGAGATTAAAGTTAGATACTAGAAAATTTTTTTTCATTGTTTTTGGGGTCAGGCATTGAGATAAGTTGCTCAGGGAGGAGCAACTCCCTGGAGGAGTTTTGGACCTGGGAGATGTGGTTCAATGGTTCCAGTAGGGGTGGGTCAACACCTGGACTTGATGTTAAAGATCTCTTCCAACCCTGATGATTCTCTAATTCTACCATTTCAAAGCTTATTATAATCTTCCTAAAGACTCTTCTGGAATTATTCAGACACTGGAGAGCAACAGCACTTCCCTGCCTGTACCTGCAGCTCTCTGCCAGGAGCACAAAGCCCTGAACCACTCCTGGGGCCTCTGGCAACACCCAAATCCTGGGCACATCACTCCTGCTCCTAACCCTCCTGCTCGGCTACACAAACACAAGCCCAGAGAGAGAAAATCCTGGTGTCTGCAGGGATCACCACCAGGGAGGGACCCTTGACAGCTCCTCAGGCTGGGAGATGTGGCCCTGTTAGCCTGCAGGGGATGGCCTGGATAGAGCCCTGAGGATGCTGAGGTTTATTTTCCAAACACACATTCCCAAAGTATCCTGCTCTTGCTTTCCTAAGATCTTGAAGTATCTGGCTGGGTCAAAGCACTTGCAGCTTCCTAGGGAATTCTTCTGTGGTACTTCCATATATCCTTTAATGACTCCAACTGCCTGGCTGTTAGCTTTGGACAACAGGACAAATATTTGATAAGAGAGAGAAGCCAGGAAGAAATGAGGAATTCAGGAGCAGGGGGCTGGGACAGGGAAGGTTTGAGCCACCAGCATCTAATGCCTGGCACAGGTGGGGTGTGACAGTGATGGATGGGCCCAGCACCCAAACCACATCTCGGGGTAGGATGGAGTCAGGTTTCCCACCAAGCCAGAGATAAGCTCGACTTCAGCTTTGAGGTGTCCCAAAACATCCTTACTTAAGAGATTTTTATTTATCTGAAACTGAAGGCAACTCAGTTTTAAATCTGGGAGAAGAATCTAAACCAAGCACAGCATAAAAAGTAAAATGTTAAGTGGCTCATTCCCTCAGTTCCCCAGGATGAAAATACACTGCCGTGAGAAAAACACTTCCAAAAGCCCCGGTCTGACTGTCAGCAGCATCAAAACAAACAGAAACAGCCACCACCCCCAAATCTCCACAGTCCCCAACCAAACACAGGCACCAACTGCTCTGCAGAGCACTCAACCATTTGCACATCACTTTAATTGCCAGATAAGACACAAATCCATCTCCCTGACAACAAAAATAACATTTTTTTGAGACAAAGAGAATGAGGGAAAACAAGCACAGGATTAGTAAAATAGCCACTGAGCTGTAAATAGATTGAAGCTATTCACCATCCCTACAAGCCATTTAAACAACCAAAACAAAAACCAAAAAAACCCAAAACACCCATCTTTCTAAAGGTTTAGTTCATGGACTGCAGTAAGAGGTCATATTTGGGTAAGGGCTCCATGACAAAAATCAGTAATATTAAAGAAGTTATACAGAATAATAAAATGTAGGTGTGTAAAATACAGGCAGAATTAGCTCAGCAGGGCTGTGATACCTTGTAAACTTCAAGCAGCCCCTGACCAGGCTCTGGTTCCTACTTGAAAGGTTAATGTTTCAAGAAGTGGTGAGCCAACAAATATCCAACAAATCCTTTTCCTGGTGAACTCGCCCAGTGAGGCTGTTTTCAGGGAAACCTGTGGCTTCTGCCTGGAGTTTATTTTTGCAGTGTCTGAAGCCATCTCGTGTTCTGTTTTGTTACCATTTTCTAAAACCAAGGAACATTAACTAGAGACTTCCCAGGAGATCAGGGACATGCTCCGTGCTTTCCTCCAAGAATTTCCAGTAAGACATGGAAGAAGCTGAAGTGGATTGGAGGAACACACGGGGAAAGGCAAATCCAGAGGGATGGGATCACCAAGGGCAGCAGCTATGGATCTGAAAGGAATATCCCAACACCACCCTACAAATGCCTTTCTCCTCCTGTGGGTTTGAAAAGAAAACATGTTTTCAGAAGGGATTTAACTAATTAATGCTCCTTCTCATTGCATTATTTGTGGAGCAGCCACAGACCCTGAATCAGAGAGAAAAGTGATACTGAGCTCAGCTCAGTCACTGCCTTCACCTGCTCTTGGAAATTAGAACTTTCCTAATTCATTTTTCTAATTAATGCCTCTAACTTTTCTCATCAATTGTTTTAATTAATCATGAGCAGTGTGATTTCCACTTT